GAACATCAATACCGGCGGTCAGGAGACATGCCGAGCGGCCATGACGCCGCAGTGGCGGAGGCGGCACCGGTGCCCGAGGCTGCGCCGTTGCCTGCAGAAGTGGCCAGGTTGCGTGCTTTGAGTTTATTGCGACGTCTTGCTTTTGGCATGCAGAGATGTGTTGCGAAGTCCAATGGGGAGATGGCCTACCAACTTTTGTTTCAGCAGGAGCAACTGGTCAGCTACAGTGGCTACAACATGTTCTTTCGGTTTGTGCCCTATGCCATGTTTCGTTGTCGCGCAGTGGCCTTGGACGCAGCCGCCGCCAGCGCGCCTCATTTGAAAGTTCTGCCCCTGGAGCCTGTGGAGGCTGAAGAGATTGACGCAATCCCTGTGCAAGAGGTTGCTGAGGTATTCGACGAGGAAGATTTGACGGAAAGTGGGATCCCGACAGGTGGCACGAGGGTTGTGTCGCACAATCAGAAGGATGATTACTTGCATCGTGGTGCTTCAGCCGTTATGACGTCTATGTCTTTGGTTATGTATTCTCGTTATGTGCGACGAGTTCCTCGTAGCCAAGCTGGTCGCGTTGATTACGTCAAATTTTTTCCCTTTGATGAACACTATGCACATTTCCAATTGTCAGTGCAGGACTGTTGCTTCTGCCTTTTTCTTTTTTGGGTTGCTGACGTGTTTTGTTGTTTCATGTTCAAAAACTGCGTTGATTGTGTTTCATGTTCAAAAACTGTGTTGATGGCGTGAAAATATTCCCTTTTCCCTTTGACGAACACTACGCACATTGTCCCTTGTCAGTGCAGGATTGTTGCTTCTGTTTTTTTCCTTGTTCGTTGCTGACGCGTTTAGGTGCTTCATTATTGACAAACATAATTCATATATAGTTGGGCTGTGGTCGCTTTCCTGTGGATCTATTTCTGCGCACGGATCCATCGCTCGGACATCTGCGCGCCCTGTGACAGGAGTTGCGAACAGCAGACGACAATGTTGTGGTGCCTGTGGATTTGCGCCTTCCGGGGCAGAATGAACCTGAGAAATACGCTGCGTTTATGCTGGGTTTGTCGTTGCCCTTTCCACGTTGCCCGGGTGCACAGCATTGTGGAGAAGCTTGGCAATGTTTTCATTGTCATGAGATTGAAAAGTTGGAAGGGAAAGGTTTCCTGCGAGCCTGTTTCTCCAAGACCTGGAAACATTGGAAAGCTTGCATGCAGGTGCGCAAGGTGAATGCGCAGGAACGACTCTTGGCTGGCTTGAGTTTACCTTTTCTGCGTGACTTGGTGGGCTTACGCGAGTGGTGCGATGTGTCTTGTCTCGACGAGATGCTTCTGGATGGAGCAGACCCTGAGATCTCCGAAGAGATGCCTGCGCAGGAGCCCGCAGGAGAAGATGCAGAGGACCAGGGAATTCTGTTTCCGAGCGCCTCCACACCTTCGCCTCTGTCGAGTACCTATCATTTGATGTGGTGTCTCGGGAAGGTTTTCAAGGGCAAGCATGGTCGCTACGTGGACCTACCTCGGATACACGAAAGGATTTGTTGGTCTTTGGGAATCCCTTGTGGTTTTCACTACACACATTTGACTCCGCTGGAGCACATGTCTCATGTGCAGCTGCAGTGGTTGGAGAGATTCCGCCTGCACCACGAAGCACGACAGCTCAGCAGCAGCCAGAGGAGAGCCGAGCGCTTTGCTTACATGACCAAGGAAGAGGAGGGCGAAGACGTGGAGGAGTACTGGATACAGCACATGCTTTTTTAGGGGGGGCCAAGTCGCGGTAAAGTGTTTCTGTGTATGTAGCGTAGTTGTTTGACAAGCATCACTGGCAAGTGTCCAGCTGGATACAGCACATGCTTTTTTTTTGGGGGGGGGCCAAGTCGTGGTAAAGTGTTTCTGTGTATG